AGGAAACTCAGCTGTCATTCACAAATAGAGCAATGATGGCGGCCTAAATCAGCACAGTGGCAATAGGGCCAGACTTGAGAAAAATTTCAAAGGCAAAACAGACAGAAATGACAACCAAAAGGATATGAGAAATAAGAAGAACATAGGAGTTGAACACATTCCTGGTCAGGCTGTTTGGTAAAGTGATGGTGCAACACCAAGATAAGGAACCAGGGAGGAGGAAGAGCATGTTGGGTCAGAAGTTGAAATTCCATTTGGATATGTTGAATTCAAGGTACTTGTAGGACACAAGTCTGTATCTCAATGGAAAGGTCAATTTGGAGTCAAGGAGACGAAATCCAAACTAGACAAACAGAAGAAGGCAGAGATAAAAGCAAAACATGAACAAAATAGAAAAGAAACAAACCAAAAAAAGCAATAAAAGCGATAAGCACAACCAAAAGATGACTTTGAAAAGAGTAATAAAAAATACTGATTTTTGGCAAATATAACCAAGAAAAACAAATGGGGCACAAAAAACAGCACCAGATATGAAAACAGGGAAATAACTACAGAAGCAGAAGAGATTTTTAATATTATAAGAGACCTCCATGAATAATTTCATACTAAAATATATGAATACCTGAAGGTGGGGGAGAGAAAGGTCAGGTATTTATATTTTTTGGTATGGAGTTATTCATGAAGGTCTTTTATAATTTTAAAACTCTCTTCTGTTTCTGTAGTTATTTCCTCTTTTTAGAGAAACATAGAGCATGTCTCTGTAAACTTTACAGCAGATAAAAATTTTTAAATAAAAACTGCGAAATATAGCTGAAAATATTGATAAATTGGACTATATTAAAACTAATATAATTAATACTCTGTTCATCACAACACACCTTTAAGAGAGTAAAAGGCAACTCATAAAGTCGAAGAGATATTCACAATACAGTACATGTATCTGACAAAGGACTTATACGTAGAATATATATGCAGAACTCCTACAAATCAATAAGAATGAAAGACAACGCAATAGACCCCAATAGAAAAAAAATGACAAATGACTTGAAAAGACACTTCACAAAAGAGGATATCCAACATGGCCAATAAATATATGAAAAGGTGCTCATCTTCATTAGTCATCAGGGAAATGTAAATTAAAACCACAATGATATACCACTGCATACCCACCAGAATGGCTGAAATTAAAAAGATGGAAAATGCCAAGTGTTGGTGAGGATGTGGAGCAACCACAACTCTCATACATTGCTGATGGGCGTGTAAATTGGCACAATCACTTTGGAAATTGTTTTGTAGTATCTATTAAAGCTAAATGTACACATATCTTCTGATCTAACAATTCTACTCCTAGCAGTTCTATTCCCACTAGAAATGCGTACATATTTCACTAAAAAATATGTTCAGAATGTTCAGACCAGTACTATTCATAATAGTCAAAAATAAGAAATTTCCCAAATGCCTATTAACAATAGATGGATAAATAGTGAGAATGGTCCACAACAACATGCAAGAATATGGATAAATATCACAACATAGTGCTGAGTGGGAAAATGGTTCATACTTTATGATTCTGCATCTATAAAATAAACAAGAGGAACTAATCAATACTAACAGAAGTGAGGATAGAGATATTCTTGTTGAGTAGGACACTAACTGCAAAGTAAGACCGGGTTTTCTGGGAGCTGGTAGTAGTTTGTTTCTTGATCTGGGTGCTGATTTCACATGTTTATTCAGTAGGGCTGGAACAAGGGTGAGACACACAAGATATCTAGGGAGCAAAATTTAAAGAGGCACTCACTCTCACCTTGCTTCCCTCACTCTTCTTCCAGCCTGGTGTTCAGTTTGTGTATATTTATTGAGTCGTATCATTATGACGTATATATTTTTCTGCATGTATATTATACTTGGATTAAAAAATTTGCTAAAGGGGTCTTGTCTACCTTACACCACAAATAAAAATAAACTCCAAGTGGAATAAAAACCTAAATGTAAAAAGAAAAACCTTTAAACTTTCAGAATAAATATAGGAGAATATTATAAATGACCTCAGGTAAAGAAGGTTTTCTTAAGAATATCCAAAAGCACATATTAGAGAAAAATATTTGACTACATTAAAATTAAGAACTTTTCTTTAGGAAAAGGCATCTTAAAGAAATTGAAAAGACAAGCCACAAACCTAAGAAAAACTACTGCAACAAAGACAAATGAAAAAGAATTATTATTTAGAACATTTTTTTTAAGATTGGCACCTGAGCTAACATCTGTTGCCAATCTTTTCCTTTTTCTTCTTCTCCCCAAAGCCCCCCAGTACAAAGTTGTATATTCTAATTGTGAGTGCTTCTGGTTGTGCTATATGGGACGCTGCCTCAGCAGGGCCTGATGAGCTGTGCCATGTCCGAAGCAGAGCGCACAAACTTAACCACTCCACCATGGGGCTGGCCCCTAGAACATATTTTTTAAATCAATGAGGAAAAGATAAATAATCAAATAGGAAAATGCAAGAAAGACTTGAACAGGTACTTTATATATAAGAAAACCAGAATGGCCAATACACAAAAAAAGATGCTCAAATTCACTAATAGTCAGGGAAATGCAAATTAAAATCATGAGGTATTATCATTTCACATCCAACAGATAGGCAGATAACATAAACTCAGATAATATTAAGTGTCGACAAGAATGTAGGGCACTTTTCTCCACTATCGGTGAAGTATAAATTGGTACAATCACTTTGGAAAACAGTTTTGCATTACTTAATAAAGTTGAAAATGTTCAAGCCCTCAAACTTTTTAGTATATTCCCTAGAGACACTCTTGCATATGTGTACCAAGAGTGTGTACATGAACGTTTATAATGATTGAAAAGAAAGAATATCTGTCAAGAGGAGAATATTCTACAGCAGTGAAAATGAATGAACAACCACAGACAAATGGATAAATCACATTTTTGATGGTCAAGCAAAAGAAGTAAATCATAGAAGACTACCTAGAGTATGATTACATTTATATAAAAATTTTAAACAAGCAGATATACTCATAGATCATAAAACTATAAAGAAGAGTAAGGGAAGGGTTATCATGGAAGTTAAGAGAGTGGTTATCTTTGGAGGAGAAGAAGGGGGTGCAATGAGAGAGAGGCACATGGTGGCTTCTAAGGTAGTGACAATGTTCTACTTCTTAGCCTGAATGGAGGGTATATGGATGTTCTCATTATTCTTAAAACTGTACATACTACTTCTATATACTCTGCTGTATGCATATTTCATAAAATAATTTTTAAAATAAAATAATTTTTAAAAGCAATAAAGGGTTCTACATATGTACATACATGTACGAATACGTGTATGAATGTTTGTGTGTGTGTATTCCATGAAGGAAAGCAACAGAATTCTTAGTGGGAAAATGTAAGCACTTCACTAGACTTACTAAATTCTCTTATACAATTGGTTAGCTGAGAGAGGAACTTGAATTGACTGAGTTTACCACAAAATTCCAATCTTTGTATATTGTTCCTACTAAATGTGTGCTTGGAAAGTGTTATCACGTCTTCTTTAACCTATCCATTGAATTATTCATTCTCAAGTTGTCCTGCTTTCATTTCAGTTAGTAAAAGAGAAATAATTTCTTAATTTTAAAAGATAAAATTTTAGTTCAAATATGCTCATTCTCTTCTTAACGTCTATTCTTTTAAAATCAATCTATGTTAGCTATGTCTTCCTTGAGCGGAATCAGAAGAAAGTTGCATCAAAATCTAAAGCCATTATCACACGTGACATTGTGAAAATACTTACTAAAAATGAAAAAAAATCATGTTGTTTATTTGGTTTATATTATTTACATTAAGGGAAGTAAGACTTCTTTTCAATGTATGAAACATAACACAGAGTTAAAGAATCCGAAGGAATCTTTAAAAGTTACCTACTGCAGTCATCTATGTTTAAGTAGGACTCAAACTATCTTAAGAGAATATATTAGCATCCTAATCTTAAAAATAGCTCCTGAAAAGATTTTATAGCATCCCTTCCCAGTCTGAAAATTCTTTATGTTTAACTCAGAACCCTTTTAATACAGTGTTGGCATACAGTAAACTTTATTATCCAGACAACGGGGTGTAGATTTTTTTTTGAGGAAGATTAGCCCTGAGCTAACTGCTGCCAATCTTCCTCTTTTTACTGAGGAAGACTGGCCCTGAGCTAACATCCGTGCCCATCTTCCTCTACATTCTATGTGGGATGCCTGCCACAGCATGGCTTGCACAGCGGTGCCATGTCCACACCTGGGATCTGATCCAGCGAACCCCTGGCCGCCAAAGCGGAATGTACGCGCTTAACCGCTGTGCCACCGGGCCGGCCCCTAGGGTGTGGATTTACCTAGGGCACAGCAGAGCCCCAGCAAGTACTCAACTCCAAGTCTCTACTGGAGGAAGTAGAAAGGTAAAGGGCTCAGAGCCCTGCTTGTTTGGCTCCAGTGGCTCCAACTCCAGCCCCATGACTTTCCCCAGGGACCCAGCCCCAAAGCTTGTCTCTTTTCACAAAACCGAGAGTTGGCTATCGTTTTGTTTTCACTTTGACTTGAGTTTATCCATAACTTTTTTCTGCCTAAACCCCCTTCCACCCAATTACCTCAGTAATCAAGAATTTATATATACTTCGGGTGAGTATGAGTAAACACCTAGAATATTTTTTAAACCCTAAAAATGTTACTTATTAAATGAAAGAAAGAAAATCCCAAATTTTCTAAATTCATGGATACCTTTGAGAAAAGAAGTATATTAGAAAGTCTTTTTCTTCCCCAGTCAAGGAGAATTTCATCTAACAAAGTCTTGAAGACTGTACTTTTTTACAATAAAGACTCCTTGAGGTCAGGGACTGATTTTGTTTCAGTTTTTACAACTGGTACACTCTATTGGACCTTGTTACTGTGATATGACCTGTGTAGGAATTGAAAAATGTCATCTGTGTTTAACCGAGGCAAGGGAGGATTGCTAGAGCTTTGCCTTACATGATTGTTGCATTCTTCTTCTTCCTCGTCACAGTCTAGACCCTGATGGGCAATTTCGGTAGTGCTGTTCTCCTGAAAGAGATTGTTCTCCAAATCAGACACTCTGGTGGCCTCGGTTGTGACTTTTACTTTCATGCTATGGAAGCCAGTGGAGACCAATCCCACTTGCAGGTTTACGGGCTCTCCCTCGAACAGCAGGAAGTGTGAGTTTACCCCTTCTTTAAAACCAGGGGGTTGGTAATCATGTGGGGTCACTGCAAAATGAAAAGGGAAGAAAACTCAGTTTCAACAGAACAAGTTGGATTAATCTTTCATGTGTAGCAACAGACATCTCTTCCCGATGCTTGCAAAATCCTTCAATTTAGATAAAATATTACTTCAACTCTTAAGGAATTTGACTAGAGGTCTCCACCTACCCGCATTATAGTAGTGGAGTTTCATAGTAAGTATAACATCATTAGGAAGGGGTCCAAGGTTCTGCATCAGTATATACAATTTACGGATCAGTAGAACACTGGCTTTCTTAATATCTTCACTGCTTGTCCCACTTTCGAAGCTTGTACTACTGCTATAACCACATAGAAAAACAGCATACTTTTCAATCATACACAATACTGAAAATCTATTTCAAAAAGAACTTTTTACTATATGACCAAATAAATATAAACTAAAGAGCAGGACACTCTTGAGACTACTTTTAGAATGTAAATTAAAGGAGTGATTGTACTTTCTGTAGTGTATATACAAATGATTTCTTAAGCAGCAAGTTCTCTTAAGTCATTTTAAATATGAACCGATTTTTAAAATTTTTGATTTACAAATAACTGCATGCCATAATAGTGAGAACAATGGATTTGGAATTAGGAGACATGATATCTAATATTGGCTCTGCTGCTAACTAGTTGAATGACCTTGGTCAAGTCATTTAGACACTCTAGGTCAGTTAGCTCATTTGTGAAAGAAGCTTACCCACATTTCTACATCTCTCCAAGTATAAAATCAATCATCAGCTCTAGGCCTTTCTACCACCTGGTTATCTCTCAGAGGCATCCCCTCCTTACTCTTAAATGGATTACAACAATGGCCATCTATTCTTCCTGCTTTTCTTCTTATCCACACTGCAAAACATTCTCCATACCACTGCCAAAATAACATTCCTAATAGGAAAATCTGCTCATGTCACTCTCTTGCTTAAAATTCTTCTATTATGTCCATTACCTTTCAATCAAATTCAAGATTAGTGTGTTAACAATGCCTTTCACAACCAGCTGCACCCTCACCTCCACCTTCATCTGTAACTACTACCCAGTTTGCTGTTGCCGATGTGTATTTGCATATGCTGTTCACTTTGCTTGGATTGTGCTTTTCCCACTTTTCTTCCTGACTCTTCCAAATTTATCCTTGAATACCTAGCTCATGTGTCACCTCTTCAAAGAGGTCTTCCCTGATAATCACTATATCTCACCCCTGTTTATAACTGTTTGTACATCCCCCTCTTGACTATGAGTGGCTATTTCTTTCATCTCCACAGTACTAAGTTTGGTGCCTAGTAACAGTTAAGTACTCAATAAATATTTGTTGAATTAATGAATGAATAAACAAGTTGGACTAAATTACCTTCAAATTCTAAATACTTTTTATTTCTCTCCAAAACTTCCTTCCCAAATAGGTCTCACATTTGAGTAGTTTCTAGGAAGTACATGACTGCAATATATTTACACAATGACTTTCACATAGTAAGCATCAATACTGAAAAATAATCTTAAGTAATTGAACTACTGAAGGCAGTATAAAGTCATAAAACAAACATTTTAAGTAAATACATTTGATCTTTAAATTTTGAACAACTTAAACTTTTGTCTACCAGGATTTAACTAATTTGAAATAGGTAACCAGAGTGAAGGGCTATAGCCATGTAGCTCATGGGATCCTTCAGCATACATCATATTCATAAAATCGTATTCATGTAAAATCATATTCAAGACTACTTTACACTCTTTTAAAAGGGAAATTACCTTTACTATAGAAGAGGTGATAAGGAAATTTTGTATGAACAATCATTTGAACAAATGCCTACCTTTGCTTCCTAGGAAATTAGTAATATGCATTACCTTCTTTCCTCCTTGGTAGCTGAAAGATTTGGCCATTTCTGTTTTACTGCTTACCTCTTGGCATATATGTCTTCATAACAAAAGAGACTCATCTGGTTGTCAGTAGGACTTATATTTGAATTTTAGAGAGTAAAAGGCAACTGTTTTATGTGAAATATGTGTAAAAAGGGCTTCACAATCTGTAAAGTGCTATTCAAATGTTAGCTAATGATGGTTATTTTAATTCTCATTCCTAGAACTTACTTCCCCTTCATATCCTAGTGCTGTCTGTAAGTTTTAACTCAAACAAGAGTATAATTAAGGAAGTAAATCTTGGAGAGAAATCCTCAAACTTGCAGTAAATAATGAGACAGAGCTAACAGTACAGAAAATTGAGAATTAAGCCAGGTTTCTCTTCGGTCATTCCTTTTAGGGAAACTCATCCCCCTGATGTGGAGCCCTCTACTACCCAGGGCTTTTCACCACCATCCGCCCCCTCTACTTCTATTCCATCTCCTCAGCAATACTTAGCTCTATCTGAATCCAAAAGCTACTGGGAAGGGAATAAATGTTGCTCCTCAATAAAACATCTCTATCTGCACTAAAGACCTTCTGAAGCAAATGTCCTTGTCTTTGCTATTTAACCCATTAATATATCTCAAACTTGGAATTTTAGACTTGATAGGAAAATGCAGTGCTTTCCAGTCTTTTCCATACAGGGACATGTAGAAAATCATATTTGTATAATTTTAGTAAGCAGATGAGAACGTTTGTTTCTATAGGAAAATAGTTCAGGGGTTTCATCTACCACGGGCCCGGTCTGGCTACATTGAGGGCAGATAGGATCAATATCTTGGCATAGCAATTGAGAAACTTTGGGTGAGCGGCTAGACAGAGTCTTAAGGAGTTATTCAATCAACCCATGAAGACAGTCTCATTAATATAATTTCGACTGCTGTGCCTCCCACCAACCACCACTGCCTCCAAGGACCACCACCATCACCACCACCACTACTAGGTACCATCTGTCAAGTGTCTATTATGTGCCAGGCATGGGCAAAGCTTTATGTATACATTATATTTTAATAATCACAGCAACTATGTGAAGTAGATATTACTAACTCCATTGTGCAGATGAGAATACTAATATTTAGGGAAGTTGATAATCTGTCCCAAGCTATATAATCAGGAATAGTCAGAGCTGGGGCTCCAAGCCAGATCTTTCTGCCTTAGGAACTGGAACTCTTAGCCACTAAACTTAACTGCCTTTAGACTCTACTAACATCACCTATGAGGATAAGAGGGAGAGAAGCAAACAAAGCCTCTATTCCCACCAGCTTTATCCACGGATTTCAGAAATTTAAACAATTATTACAGTCCCTTTTTACCATAGTGGTTTTTTGTAGGATTGTTGGGGAAGTTACAAAGGAAGTATACAGATTATCTCTGGACTCAAAGAGGCCTATGTTGACCTCAATCCTATATATTTCTCATGTTCATTAAACAATTGGATTCTACCTGTCAAAATCCATAGTGGCTCCTTCTTTTGTGTATTTGAATTTGAACTGGTATATCTCAGTCACTTTCTAGAAACATCAAAGGGAATAGAAAAGAAATTACTTAAAAAAAAATCTAGAATCTTATCTGATAACAGGTAAAGAATATTCTCATTGTGTGCCTACTATACTTCCTACATACTCATTTGTTCCACAACATTACATTATCCAGGAGTAATATTTCCAGATATAAAGATAATAATTTTTCCCCTCCATGCTAAAAATGAATTAGATGACAAAATTCTAGTGTGACCATTTTAAAGCTGGAGAAACTAAGGCACATAGTCAAGTATATGACCCGGCATAGGTAAATGACAGTGGAACCGGTTGAGAAACTGTTCATTCATATAATTTATTGATTAATAAATTTATATATATATATATAAATTAAATAATTGATATTAATATAGTAATAAATAATTTAGTATTTATATATTTACTGAACATCTACTTTGTGTCAGGCACTGGAGCCACAGGGGTGAACCTGACAGAAAATGTCTCTATTTTTCTGGAATATATAGCCTAGTGGGAGAGAGAGTCGATAAATAAGTAAATGAATAAAATAAGGTAATTTCAGACAGTAATAAGTGCTGTGAACAATATGAAGCAGATGCTGTGACAGAGAGTACAGAAGTGCAGAGGTACTGATTTGGTTTGGAATGGCCCAGGAAGGCCTCCCTGAAGAGGTGATGTTTGAGCTGAGCCTCAGTGACAAGAGGGATCAGTCATGCGCAGACCTGGGGGAGGGTGGGGTGCCCCAGGCAGAGAGAACAGCAATGCAAAGGATCCAAAGCAGGAGAGCAGGAAAGGAAGCTTCTTCCAGTATCAGAGAGGAGGCTAAGCATCTGGTGATGAGTGAACAAGGGTGAGAGTGTAGGAGATGAGGTTGTAGAGGAGGTTGTGGGGCCTTTTGGCCACGGTAAGAGGTTTGGGTTTTATTCTAAGTAACCCAGAAGTCCAATAAAGGGTTTTAAGCATGGGAGTGATTGCATTTTTTAAGATCACCCTGGCTATTTTAAGAGTACACAGGGGAAGAAGTGGAAACCATGAGAGCAATTAAGAGGCTACTGTAGTAACTCAGGGAAGACTAGAATGGCAACAAGAATACTGGAAAAATTAGAAAAGCAACCAGGATCCACGATATCAGGTCTTGTTTTTTTGCCCCTGCACTAGAAACTAGATACTACTGCTATCTGCTCTCCTCACTGTTAAGAAAGCTAGAAATAAAGAGGAACAAATTTCTGGATGCGAGATATACTCCATTTGAAATAAAATGACTGTCTAGTAGTTGAAGAAAAACATTTGGCCCAGATACATTGTAGTTTGTCCACAGAGCTGGAGAGATGCTAAAGACACGCAAAAGGTATGAGTTTAAGTCAAAAGACAAAAAATACCCCTTCATTCATCTGCTTCAGTATTTGTTCCTTGACAACGTGGGAATGAGGATGTTAGATTGATGAGAAAAAGTCTCAATGCTCTTGTTACTTTACTCTGTTCTAAGATTTGGTACCCCATTAATCACAGGTGATCAGGTCCTGGGGAAATGGGCTCATGCTGCTTAACCTCCAAGAAGATTGATTTATAATGGAGTTAATTTTAAAAGAGAAAATATTTTTCTAACAAGAAAGTCTATTTAACAAATCAAACCAAGTTCAGAAGGCTGCCTTGTGAGTACAATAAGAGAGGTACACGGGACTATTGGTGCCTACAGCAACAGGTTCACTCCAGACAGGCTAGACTCACAGCATCTTCTCTGCTCAGGTTGGGTGTCACCCCCTGTCTAGTAAACAAAGCCTATTCTTCCTGCCTGGCTATGTTCCTCAACCAGCTCTAGTTTTCTGATACTCTGAGCTTTTATTTTTTCAATTGTGTCAAGAGTAGATCCTTTGGTAGTTGATAATTTTATTAACACTTTATTATTTGGTCTCTGAAACAACTAATAAAAGAGTTATGTTAGTAATTCTCTTACAGAAGATGCTAATCCTTAATAACTTCAATCTGACTCTGATTGATCAAGGAAGGTATATTTACAGCAGGCATTAGTCTCTTCTTAACACCTCATAAAACATTCTCCTGCTTTTCAGACTACTGTGTTGCCCAATAAATATGAGCCTCTAAACTTCCCATCAATAGTTTCTATTAATCATACTGAATATATCCACATGGACCAAAGCAACAGCAACATATACAGTCTTTTCTAATCATTCCGCATTTCAATCCATTGGCAAGACTTTCCAGGTTTATCTCAAGGCATATCCCAAGTCCATCTGATTCTCTCCATTTTCATTGCTATCACCCTACCCAAGCCACCACTATCTCTCTCCATCTGATCTGTTCGCTTCCAAACTACTCCTCCTATAATTCATTCTCTGTTCTATAGCTTTTAAAAATACAAACTAGACCATGTCACTCTTTTGCTTAAAACTCCCCAATGGCTTCCCATTGCCTTTAGAATTAAATACAAAATTTACCTTGGTCCACACGCCTTACACATCTGTCCCCTGCCTACCTCTCTGACCTTATCTCCTGCCTCTTTTCCTCCCACTCACTAAGCTCCAGGCTTAGGGCACCCTCTCTGTCCAGGAACACACAAAACGCCTTCCTGCCTTAGGGCCTTTGCACAACTACACTCTGGAACATCTATCTCCAGTTGATGACAATAATGATAATATTCGTACACTATCTTAAATGCTCTATATCTATTCATTCTTATGTTGCAAACACTATGAGATAGGTATTATTATCTTCATTATAGATGAAGCTAGTTAGTGGTAGAGCTGGGACTTGACTCCAGCACCTGCAATGTTAACTACTGTGTTATTCTGTCAGTCAGTTGCCTCTCACAGACCTGCATAGGCTGACTCCTCTGGCCACTCAGTCTCTAAAACAAAGTCTTTAAAAGCATATTGCAGCTAGAAACAGGGACCATCTACTGTTCAGTTCCTGAAGCAGTTTACTAAAAGTAGGTGTTAACCACCTCCAATAGGCACAAAGGAATAGATGGTGAAACAGCACGATTTGTATCCTCACAATATTCTATATAGTAATTCTTTATGGGTCTATCATGGGTTAAGTTGTGTAAACCTTTCCTTAATAATTTACATTTTGGCTTAAACATCTACTAACACCCTCCACCCATTGTATAGTGTGTATCTGTAGAAAAGTTACACTATCCCTTGTCACTATAGCTACCTTTGTCAGTTCATCTCTTTCATGAGATGGAGCAACCAGAACAAAACTCCAAGCACAGAAACACCACAACTTTGTCAAATATCTAAAATTCTGTTGGCCTCTGGACTGAGTAAGCAGCTTTATCTGATTTAAGACAGAGGTTCTCGACTATTGTACCATGACAGACTCTTCACAAGAGTGCTGCAAATTTTAATCCATGTGTAAAGTGTATTTTTGCTTCAGACAAATATTAATATTGTTATTAGTGCAGTTTTGTTTAGGGAAGGACATACTTTCATGGATATGAGTTAGGAAACATGGCACAATATCAGATAAATGCCAAAGAAAGACCGTGTTCATGTGATAATGGTGTTTTGTGACTATACAAGAGAATGAGATCTGGGAGGTAAATAGTTTTACCAGTGACTTGATGCTAAACAGCAACCACAAAACAGTGTAATCTCATGGATACTTTTAGGCACTATGAACACTGCTATACCATAGTTACACTGTAATTACTGCTGACTTATTTCGTGTTCTTTTGAGTCTTTTAATACCCTCAAACATGCCACCAAATTTTCTAGTAATCAAAAGCATGCCATGAACACAAAAAGTTTAGGGATCACTGCCAGAGGGATTGTCATCTGTAAGCAACAAAAATATTTTTTTCTGGGTCATAAATCATAGCTCAAAACTTCATATAATAAGCTTTAGTTTTCTAACTTCAATATTATATATATTGCCTGTATCAAAGCTTATTTAACAGTTTTCTCCCGACTCTAAGATTTTTCTGTAGTTAAGTCCAATTTGCTCAGCATTTCACTACCTCAAAACCACTGTTTTCAGACCAGGAGTTTTGCATGCATAAGAAAACATAATTTATCGCACTAAGAAAATGACCAATTTATTAACAATTTATCAGGAGGTTTTAGTTTGGGAAACTTCCCATAAAACCTACAGAAAAAAAAGGAACTTTGAAAATAAACAAGAGACAAAGATTAAAAAGAAGTGGTTTGGGCATTGAGGAATTGTTACCCACCTGTATGCACCAGTTTTTTTCCACCCTGCTAAAATAGCTATTTATAATCTTGTCAAGAAAGGATAGTAAAGACTAAAAATGCTTAATTTAGTCTTGAACGCCACCAGTTAGGCTAAATCCACAGGCTTAGAGAAGGAAAATTGAAAGAAAGGAAAACAGAAAGGGGAGAGGAAAGAAAGCTAGGAGGAAAATAAAGAGATTAGAATGAGAAGAAAGAACGGAGGGCCTCTCCCTCCACTCTGCCACAGCCACAGCTGCTATTCAAAGTAGCACAGGTAACCATTACATGTCGAGGACTATAATATTCACTCTGGGAGACAGAAAACAAGACAAGGTGCTTGTCCTCAAGAATTCACAATCTGGTTGGGGAGATAAAGTAATCTATACAAATCAATTGGAGGTGTTAAATTGTGGAGTCCTGCTGGAAAAGAAATTTAGAAAAGGAAGCAATCAGTGAGAATAGAATAGGCAAAAAGGCTTTTGTGAAAGATTTGGTCACAAGTTGGCCTTGAGGATGAGGCTACTGCCTCAAAGGGAAGTAAGTTGGCCTTGAGAATGACGCTACTGCCTCAAAGGGAAGAAATACCATCAAAGAGAAGAAGTTTAGAGAGAGAAGCAAAGAGTTAAGGCCCAGAAAATCTATGAAAAGGTAAAAAAGGGGAGGATTTAGTTGGCAAAAAAAAAAAAAGTTTAGAATTATGCCATATCTTCCAAAAGGCCACAAACAGAAGGGATTCGGAATCAGTTAAATAAAATGTGTTTTTTCTACAAGCAGAGATGCTTAATATTAACATGTTAGGGAATAGGCTCAGTTCTACTCAATGTTTTTTTTCAACATCCCTAAGTTTGTTTGCTTGTTTGATTTTTTGGTGAGGAAGATTGGCCCTTAGCTAACATCTGTTGCCAATCTTCCTCTTTTTGCTTGAGGAAGATTGTCACTGAGCTAACATTCGTGCCAATCTTCCTCTAATTTGATTGTGGGATACCACCACAGCATGGCCTGATGAGAGGTGTGTAGGTCCACACCCGGGATCTGAACTGGCCAACCCCAGGCTGCCAAAGCAGAGCACGTGAACTTAACCACTAAGCCACTAGGCCAGCCTCTCAACACCCCTAAGTTAAAAAAATCTCCTAATAAAGAATTGGTGAAGTTTATAACAAAACACATTGAAAGAGCTCACTCTGAATTACTTTGCTCATATGGTAGTCTAGCAACATAACTTTTAGCCTCAACTCAGGTAAATATATTTAACTATAATACTACACATATACTACTCATCTTTCTGTGTGTTCTTACCTCAGGTTCCTTGGGATTTGTGTAAAGCTGTTTAAGGAAAAATAAACAGCATTTAATTCCTGAAACTTACTAGATTACTCCTCAAAGAATACATGTTCTATGTGAAAAGTTCAATTTGTGCTGTACTGAGTACTGAGATATAGATATAAATATATAAAATACTGAGAGATAGATATGTATTACATCTAGGATATCTATCTAGGATATATATACATACATCCTAGAGATAGAATAAGCTCTTATTTTGTGAACATGGAGAGTTTAGAGTATTCTGTGCACACTGACTATAAAGAAATTGATAATCAGGTATTTATGATTACTGCGACTGAGCTCCAAATAAATTCTAAGTAGTTTGTTATGGTTTAAATTTTTTAAATAAATCATATATCTAAGATTCTCAATGATGTCTTCTCATTTTCTTTCTATTCTTAACTACATTTACCATGTTATACTCAGAAGTATATACGAAACTTCAAAAAAGTCTACAAAACTTCAAAAACAAAAACCTTCAAGACTGTAATCAGAAAAATGAAATCTCGATAGCCAATAGATGTAGCAGATAGTATATCCTATATATTTTCCCACATATTGTAATATATCAAAGAAATATATAGTTTGTGATCTTTTATTAAAACTTTTGGTAGATTCTATTTTTATTATTATAAAATGTCATAGGACAGATAAAAAAATTCAGAGGGGGATGAGAGTACTATTTTAATTTCAAAATTAAATTAAATTTAATTTAATTACAAAAAGACAATAAAGTACAGACAGAAGTTTGGTCTTTCACGTGTACTTACTGTAAGTATTGCCATGTGTAGCTTCAAGAGAAAAGAAAATTATTGTTATTATATACTTGCACCTATATTATTGTTATTTTCAATAAAAGCTAATTAAAATATGACTTTGGAGCAGTTTCAAAGATTTGAGTAGAAAAAATATTATTCAGACTATCAGAAAAAGAGATACTAAGTATTCATTCATTTAAGTGAGTATCTGGTACATACCCAGGGTCTTGCTGGGGAGGGATGCAAAAGAAGAAGATAACTATCCTTAGTTTCCATAAGTTATATACTAGTTTGGGAGGCAAAATATATATAAAATAATTTGTTATTACTAAAAATTAAATATGCCACAAGTATTTCAAAAAAAATTGTGCCTTTTGAAACTAATCTATTAAAGTAAAAATTTTAAAGTCTGATATAACTCTATAAAACCCTTGCCCTCCCTACAAATACATTACTATAAACATATTCTCTCTGCTTGAAAAAGTAATAGAATATTTAGATATAGAGATAGAGATATAACAAAGCCTATGATACATTTTTAAAAACTAGAATACAAATGAGAAAATATCAGGACTATAATTTCATATCAAATTATTCACCTATTTCACCCAAAGGACTAAATCTTTAGTGACACTGTGTGGCTATTTTGGTTACTGCATACAATTGATTTTAAGACTACACAGAAGAACTCTAATTTATATTAATTATTTAATTACTAGTTCATCCATTCAATCACTCAAAAACAGACATGGTTCCTGATCTTAGACCAGCAGGGGAGAAAACATTAAACAAAAAACCCACACAGATAGGTGTTAATTGTGTTAGCTGCTACAAAGAAGCAACACAGGGTGTTTGAGAATATTAAACAGAAGGACAATCTAGGCTGGGAGAGAGGGAGGTGTCAGAGAAAGCCTCCCTGAGGAAGCAAACTTTTAGGATAAAAAGGATAAATTGGAGTTAGCCAGGAAAAGTTTGTGGGGTAGGGAAAAGAATTTTCCAGGCAAAAGGGAACCATATGTACAAAGGCAAAAGGCACTTGGCATGTTCTAGAATCTTTGTATGGCTTGAACAGGGTGACCAATAGTGAGAGTGATGCCTTGGAAAGGCAGATGGGAATGAGATTATCCAGGCCTTGCAGATTATGTGATGGATTCTGAACTTTATTTTAAAAGTCATGGAAGATTTTTAGGCAAAAGAATGACATTATTAGACTCACGTTTCTGAAAGAAATGTAGTGTGGACAGTGGATTGGAATGGTAGGGGATTGAGAATGGGAATAAGGATACAAGTTAGGAGGCTATATACAATATAGTCTCTTTTTTATAACTATCTAAAAATACATATACATGCTTATTTTAAAGAATTCAAGCAATATATAAAGTACGAGGAAAACTAAAAATCACCCAAAATTTCACAACTAGAAACAACCGTCATCTTCAACAGGAGAACATCTTTCAAGATCTCTAGATACTCAAACTGGACTTTTGCAAACTATTGTTAAAGCATTAAACATTTCCTACTAGCAATGACAGCACCCTAGGAAAAGTTACAAAATACTAACAACTGAAAAACAATATAAATACTGTTTACTTAAGAGCCCAAGTCACCCATCTAAGATGTTGTCTTTTAATCTCCAAAAACAGTAAATTTGATTGATTCAGTTATACAGGTAGTCATTTAAGAAAAAGAAATCCACCAAACTAGGTAGTTGCTCTTTTTACATTACGCTGCTATTTCAGTATGTGTAATATTGCAATTATTTATTTAAGAAGTGACTCTATTAGACTTTGACCTCCTTGAGTAAAGGAACCACATGTTTCTCTCATTTTTATTTCATCCAGTACCTAGGCACAATATCTGGCACAGACTAAAGAGGCAAGAAAAAAAAGAAGGAAGGGAGGGAAAGAGAGTAGGAAGGAAGGAAGGAGGGAGGGAGAGAAGGGGCGGAGAGAGAGAGAGAGACAGAGAGTTAACAATTAGATAGTGCCTTTATGTGCCAAGCATTGTTTTAAACATTTTAGATCAGGGGTTCTCAAAATACAGTCTCTAGACTAGCAGTCTCAGCATTACCTGGAATTTGTCCGAAATGCAAATTCTTACTTACATCAGAAATTTTGGGTGGATCCTGGCAATGTGTGTTTTAACAAGTCCTCCAGGTGATTCTGATGTAAACTAACGTTTGAAAACCTCTGTTTTAGATTACTAACTCATCTAATTCTCAACCCTAAGAGGTAGGTTCTACTATTATCCCCATTTTGTATGTAAAGAAACTAAAGCACCAAGAAGTAGGTTACTTGCCCAAGGCCACACAGGTATTGAGTGGCAGAACTGGGATTCACTTCAGATTGCCTGATTCCAAAACTTGAGCTCTTAGCTATATTGTACTCCCCTTAACGATGGACACTCAGGAAGTGTTGCCACATCAACAGATGAAGGAGAATGGAGGAGCACTGTTCAGAATGCTGGTGATGACCTTCTTCCCCTCTCAAGCTGTTCAAAAGTCATTTTCTCCCAAATATTTCCGTCATGCCCCTCACTGGATATAACGCCTCCTTTTCCATACTTCCATTGCATATGATCAGTTATCTTTCCTTTGGTATCCATCACTTTCTATTATAGTTATACTTGTGATAGAGGTGATGGTCAAAATATGATATTAAAAAATCAATATTTAACAGCCCAATATGGCACAGGTACTGACCAACCAGAAAGGATGCAAACTTAGCCCTGGACCTGGGTTCCTGGAAACTCCTGGGACAGGTGTTAACCCTTTAATTGCTAAGATTGTGGAGCAGTATGGGGAGATGCCAAGACAGATACTGGTGGGGTGAGGAGGGGGGCATCACGGGGGTCACTTGAGGTCTCAGAGAAATAGCTATTTACCACCAGATACAGAGTATTTCAATATTTTACCAGCAAGTACAGTTGGGCCAGTATGTAGCAGCTGATCATCAGCCATGCAAATGAATATCATTTATCTTCTGCCATAGTCTATAAGCTCTTTGTGTGTACAATCCCATATCTGATTTATTTTTGTATCCCTCAATTCCCCAAGTCAGTGTTGAATAAACCATAAATAATAACTGTTCAATGAAAAAGGAAATGTATGAGTGCAACTAAAAAGTCAATGTAAGGCTTACTCACCTCAAGATTTCTTAAAGGAATAGGAATTGAGGAATAAAAACACACAGATGGAGAAAAGTGGGAGAAGCAGTGGTAGAAAGTTCTTTTATATACATCTTGTCTCTTCAACTGGACTAATTTTTACACCCTTCATAGCTGTCTTCGGCAGCAAGAAAGATCTGATGTACTTAAAACTCAAGCTGCATTTTTTAAAAAATTCAAGCTACAATACTAGCTATTTTGAGGGAACAGGTTAAATACATGCAGCAAACACTGTTAACAAAATAACTAACAGAATAAAAACCCATTATTCGAGTCCATTTTTTCCTTTCATATCTGTGAATTGAATCGCCACTATTTTGAACATTTTCAATGTGCTAAGTGCCAGATACTTGTCTCCCCTGTCCCACATCCTGTGGATCTCTTCCAGTGACTTCAGAGGAAATTCTGTGGTCAAAAAGATACGAGTACGTCAAAGAGAAAAATGAGGGTTTCATTTCTAATTGATGTAAACGAGACATCGATGCGACAGCAAAGACATAAAATAAAAAGAAATTGGTTCATAAATGCAAATGTAGGCACTGGTACACTGTTAACACACGAACTAAAGGCTAAACTTTTTTTAAAGGGATAAAAGATGAATCTTTGATCCTGGAGTAAATTTGAAAACATTCTTACGTATTTCTTTTCCAGAGCATCGAAACAACCTTGAATCCTGTCAAGAAATAAACATTCGATGTCAATTTGGACCAAATACGAAGCCAAAAAAATTCCAAGTACAGAATTGACTTACGTTTTTTGCTTTGAAGTACATCAAATTGATAATCATTCACCTTTCTAATTTAATCATTTTTAAAACTCCCAGTATCTTTTAATATATTGATAGAACTTTCTAAGTAACAGGTAAGCAATTTTGAGGTAGGAAACCACATCTTATTTTTCTTTTTGGTTCCCACATCATTTAGGATACTGACCTGCATATAAGTAATCAATTTTTTTTTTTTGAGGAAGATTAGCCCTGAGCTAACATCTGCTGCCAATCCTCCTCTCTCTCTCTCTTTTTTTTGCTGAGGAAGATTGGCCCAGAGCTAACATCCATGCCCATCTTCCTCTACTTTATACGTGGGATGACTGCCACAGCTTGGCTTGACAAGCAGTGCGTAGCTCCGCACCCAGGATCCAAACTGGCAAATCCCGGGATGCTGAAGTGGAACGTGTGAACTTAACAGCTACACTGCTGGGCCAGCCCCATGAGTAATCAAATTTTGACTGATGTTTTTCTTTCTTTATACAAATCCATTTTCTTCAAAAACAAAACTAAGCCAGTATCTTAAGATAATATTGAATAATCAATACAACTTTCTAAGAAATTGTAAAAAAAAAAAAAAAAAGGATGATGGAAAGAAACAGTTTTAAGGAAATGATTTACCAAATAAAGTCTTATGGGTAACTTTAGCCATGATAAAAGTAATATTGTTCAACTTCTGTGGAATTTCAATTACTTACCATTTGATAATATGCAGTGACCCAGGACATTTTTTATCTTCTCGGAGGATTTTTAAACTGAGGTCTACAAAAATAGAAACACAGTCCATTCTCATCTACCAAAAGACTGCTATACTAAAATTGTCCATGCTAAATAAGAGTATCTCCTTTAACCATTTTATTTATATAACTTACCTAGTTTTATAGCTTATAAAAACATTTTGAATCTCTAAATATTTACTTTAAAAATAAATCCTATGTTGATAAATGGCTTAGTTCTGATTTTGATTATAGTTTAGCAGTCGCCGTTTCTACAATATAGCACAACAGAGCTGGATGCAAAATCAATTTGTGTCACTTCTTTGCTCCTGTTGAATTCTAAGTAATTATAAAGTAGTACTGAGATCATCTTCGTTAACCAATTTAAACATACACCACAATCTCAAATCACTTCTGTGATATTTCTCTTCCTTTCAATAAAAAAAAAAGGATGAAAATTTTTTCCATGAATAATTCTCAAATACTAATTCCATCGGTAATTCAACTACTCTGCTATAGTCAGGAAAGAATAGGAAAATCTTATTAAAAGAGCTTTGGTTTAGATCAGTCTAAAATCAATCTCTGACTCATGTATGACTTTGGCATAAGTCACTTCACCTTTTCACATTGTTTTCCTATCCTAAAATTGACGTCACCTCTACCTCTACTGAGAGATATGAAAATTATTCCATGTTGGTATAACATTTAGAGATTACCAAAAAGAGTGACATAGGAGTATTCAGCATTTTTAAGATATATGCTACTTTAAGTACAAACATTGAGAGGGAGACATAACTTCAATCAAGACTGTTGCAAAAAATAAAGCTATAAAGATTGGTATTATCCTCCATGCCTAGGGTAGTGATTGGCACACAATAAGTTCTTAATTAATTACCTAAAACATGTCTTTTTCCAATTCTGTGTTCCAAACAAGAGGAGAAACTGTAATTATGTGCTACATATAAACATATTCACTATTACAGATTTATATCCTATAGACCAAAGAGGACATAACACAAATGAGGTTGTCATGATTGTAAATACCATGCTTTTGTGTTTATAGCACACGCGCATTTCTCATTGACGCTCTTGTAGAGAATCAAATGTTGTTTAAGAAAATTAAATTGGAATGAGGGCAACGTATCATTAAATATGGATGTGAGAAATTTAAAGTAAAATTAGATTTTGCAAAATAACATCTTACAAGGAAACTGGTAGCTCTCTATACTTATTTTCCAAATGATAGTTCCCATTTTAGTGACAAATCAGCAAGATTTTCTAAATTATCACAATTCAGCTTTTTAAACAAATAATAAGATTTTGAAAAATTGAAGAGTTCTAGGTACATTCTTTTTAAATACGAGAGAAGGAAAGGAGCCAGAAACAGCTTCTAATATAAGGAAATGAGATCATAAGCTTAAGGATACAAGAAACAAAAGGAAGGAAAGTAGAAGACCTGGCAACTAAGAAAAGGAGAGAGATGGTTAGAATAATAACTGTCTAAATACCCATGCTAATCAACAAATGGGTTTGGCATGAGTAGGAATTTTTTCCAACATATTTATATGCATTAACAGGAAGAAGAGTTTTTCACCCGGCTCCATTAAACTTCCTCAATGCCAAAGTATACCTCAAAGAACAAATTTAATTAAGGCACAAAACAGTGCAAATCCACAGCAACCAAATAGATTTTGATCTGGCTGCTGCTTTTACAGGTATAGTTTAGAATTACTGGGCTTGTCCATACAGATTACTTTTCTCCTCAGTCTGTCATTTGGTATCTAGCCAGAAACTAACGGTTCCTATAAGTAAAACCACTAAACACAGTGAAATTAAAATGGAAAATGAATTAGCAAATGGATGTTGAAGAATGGGCTCATGACTTGGAATTAGCATACTCTGTGAGAAATTAAAGGTTTACTCCTGCCAAACAGAGAAAAGAGGTACAACAGCCAAAGAAACCATTTAGTTAAATTTTACCATCCAAGTGGCGTTCTCCATAAGAGCTCTCCGGAAACAGGCCCCTTAGATATGTTATACATGAGATAGAAGTAGCAAAAAGTTTCTTCACCATTATCAATGATTCATGCTCATTAGTGATTTGCGATGGGAAAACTGTTTCCTAGAATAAAACAAAGATGAAAAAGGTTAGTATTCTTTAATATATTCAACCTATCATGTCATTGCCACAGATACAGTGGAAAGATTTTTCAAGGCTTCAAACCTGATACCTTTATAGGTAATCAAAAGGAAACAGGGCTTTGAATATTGAATAGATCTCCACAGGCAAGGCAGAGCAGAAAGGCAGAGACAGTTACCCAAGTAACTCAAGACTATTAATATAATTTATTTCACAATGATCCATGGGTTTGAGGCAAAATTGGAGTTTTACTATGATTATATAATCTCCTTCCCCTTCATATATCCCTCAAAGGCCACTGCAATCTGTCTTTTACCCCCTCCATTCTATACTATTCTATCCAAGGTCACCAAATACATCCTATCATTGACCTCTTCTGTCTTCATACTACATAACTTCTCTGCAGTGTTTGACACTTCTGCCCACATGCTCCCTCTTCTCTCTCAGCTGCCATAACGCTGATTTTCTTTTGATTTTTCACCTATCCTCCCATATCTATCTCAATTTCTCTTATTTTTTTCAGTTTTTCTGCCCTTTAAATGTTGGCCCTTCCCCAGGACTCTGTCTTCAGTGTCTTCTCTTTTCATAGCTCTCTCTTCTTTGGTAACCTCATCTAGTCTCACTGCTTCAGCTAAAGCCTACACAGAGACTTCAAGTCCTTATTTCTCTTCTGAGTCCCATTTCTATATTTCTATTTTCTGAACATCTGCACCTAGAACACTTTGTAAACCCCTCAAACTCAGTTTACCTCTATCACCCCTGACTGAAATCTGACCCCAAGTTTCATTCTCAGACTAATGAATCAGCATCTACTCCAATCATCCAGGCTAGAAGTAGGTCAGCTTTGGCTTCTCTCTCTCCTTCATACCTCATATCCAATCACTAAATCCTATTAATTCTCTCTAAAAGAGTTCTCAAATCTGTTTTCTCCTTTCCCTTCTTAAGGCCACGACCTTCACTTAGGACGTACTCACTCATCCCCTTTATTACTGTAGTAGCCCCTGATTTCCCCGCCAACAGTTCCTTTCGTTCAATCTGTCCTTCTTATTGCCATCATTACTAACTTTAAAGAATATGAATCTTCTCATGACACTCCAGTGTTCATACAGGATGGAATTCAAGTACCTTAGTATGGCATTGAGAACTGTCAAATCTTACACTTTGCCTAGCTCTCCTGCCTCATCTCCCACTCCCTCCTCTCTGCTGCCACTCCCTTATCCTCTCCTCTGCACACTACTCTCTAGCCATGTGGAACTACTGTTCATCTACTATTCTACCACCACGTATTTCCACACTTTTGTGCCTTGCTTAAGCTAGAGTTCTGCAGAATACTAAAATTCTGCATGATGTCCGATAGTGTTCTACACAAAGTATCAGTGCTAACAAGTTTCCTTCTAAAGTTTATATGTGTGTATGTATGACATACTACAGGATTTATGCGGTTGTTCTTAAATGACTGGATATTCGGCCTTAAGAAATGGTGTGCCATACTAGGAATGTCATAAAAGAGTGACAGATGCATGAATTTTATGTCAGTATGTAAGAAGTGTCTACCAACTGTCATCCTGTGTATAGAATATATTTGCTGATAGTTTGGTTTTTATCTTTAGTTATCACTTCAACATATGTTGTCCTATTATTCAATGTTTATTGTGTACATGTATTAACATACAAATAAAAATTTGATCATTTTTATCACAGTCTATAAAACTGCTTTTTACTGTCTTCAATCCAAGCACAAAATATATCTCATGAACTCCAGCTGGTGTTGTGTCAATACATCATAATTTTAAAATATTTCCCAAGTATTGATGGATTAGACTACATTAAACTTAAGAATTTCTGTTCATTAATACACTATTAAGAGCAAAGAGGCAACTTAAGAGTGGAGAAGATATTCTCAGTACATGTCTAGCAAAGGACTCATATCCAATGTATAAAGAACTCTTAAAATTCATTAAGAAATAGATAGACAACCGAAAATAAAAATGGGCAAAAGACTTAAACAGATACTTCACAAAAGGTATCCAAATGGCCAAGAAACAAATGAAAAAGCGCTCAAACTTCATCAAGGAAATGCACAATAAAATCACTATGAGATAGGAGGCTGGCCTGGTGGCATAGTGGTTAAGTTCACGCACTCTGCTTGGGCTGTCAGGGGTTTGCAGGTTCAGATCCTGACTGCAGACCTAGCACCACTCGTCAACCTACCCTGTGGTGGCATCCCACATAAAATGGAAGCCGATTGGAACAGAAGTTAGCTCAATGACAATGTTCCTCAAGCAGAAAGAGGAAGATTGGCAACAGATGTTAGCTCAGGGCCAATCTTCCTCACACACACACACACACACAAATCACTATGAGATAATACTATGCACCCACCAAAATGACTTAAAATTTTAAAAAATCAGAAAATACCAAATGTTGACAAGGATGTGGATCAATTAAAACTTTTAAACATTGGTTGTAGGAGTGTAAATGGGTACAACCTCTTTGGAAAATTGTTTAGTGGTATCTACTAACACTAAACATACACGTATCCTATGACCCATATTCCACTCGTAGGTATACACCCAACCGATTTGCATACAAATGCTCCCCAAAATACACGTATTAGAAAGCTCATAACAAGATTATTCGTAATATCCCCAAACAGAAAACTACCCAAATGTCCATCAACAAGAGAATAGATAAACAAATTGTGGTATATTCCCACAATGGAATATTATATAGTGATGAGAATGAATGACCCGCAACTATACTTAACAATATAAATGACTCTCACACATAATGCTGAGCAAAAGAAACCAGATACAGGAAACTAGACTTTTTGGTGGTAAACATGATGTAGTCTATATAAAAGTCAAAATACAATAATGTACACCTGAAATTTATCTAATGTTATAAACCAAAGTTACCTCAGTAATAAAAGAAACCAGATACAAATGAGTACAACTGTATGACTTCACTTATACAAAGTACAAATCCAGGTGAAACATCTATTCTGTTAAAAGTCAGGGTCGTAAGTCTCTGCTTACCTTATTTATTCAAATTCAGGGATCTTTTTACTATACTATACAGTTTCAACTGTTGAAGTTTTAATAATTCTGTTACTTAGAGGCAGGTACTATCCACAAATATGTCTTTACACAAAAAAAGCTTTTCTATATCTATAGATCTGGCTCTAGAATGTCTTTTTGGACACTCTGGGTATGATTTTGCCATATTAACTTGCCTCTTCTGTGGTACACTATATGGTGGCCATGAATTATCAGTTCATCTTTTTTTTCAAACTTTATAATATGCAGTTGTTAAAAAGGTATATAATAACATTACTACTCTTGCAGGTATGATGTGCTGGTGTGTATGTGGTATACATGTGTGTATGTGCAAAATTTTATAGAAAATTGCTTTTTGTACCTCATAGCTCCTGAGAAATTAAGGTTCTTTTGTGCAATTGGGTAATAGCTGGCATGGCACGCATATATAGTAACTTATTGAAAACATGCCAAAACTTAGAGGCAATACTTGAGTAATAACCATTTGTAAAATTAAATAACCTGAAAGTATAAAGACATTTACTTTAAATATAGAATCTAAAAGGTCATTTGTGGTAATGAAGATCAACGGTTGGAAAAGGCCTCTAGAATTCTGTTACTTCTCTATACTCCAGGGATTTTCTTCTCAGCTCAGCTGGTCTAACACCTTAAAAGTTACCACTGGTGTTTTTATAAATGTCTAATACCTGAAAATATTATGGCTTGATAACAGAAAATACTATTGTAAATTATTTTAATAAGATAGTGTGTTTATGATATTTGATGTTTGACAGCTTAGCTGTTGAATTGCATGAACTTAGGCAAGTTACTTTACTTCTCTGACCTTCAGTTTCCCCCTTATTGCAAGGTTATACTGAAATAATAACATAAAGCTCTTGGCACAGTGCCCAGCACATGGTAAGTGCTGAATAAATGTTAGCTTCTATAGTTATTATTATTGTTGTTTTAAGTACTAAATAGCAAAATCATACAGTCACTCAAAATTTACTGGGAGAAGTAGCTCATGCAGTCTAAACTACAAAGATCTGTTTATATCAAAAGGTCAATTTGTTAATTTACAGTGAGAAAAATAACTGCCAAGCTGTTTGCAATTCATATACCCAGCTCAGCAATTTCCCCTCAGGAAGGAAGCACACTTAGGAAATCAAATGAGATCAGGAGTCTGCTTGGTGAGTACACTGAATTCGAGCCAGAAAGATGACTGTTTCTCTATGCCCTAATTCTCCTTCAACTTCAATCTTCCTACTTCCACTACAGCTTAATATTCCTAAAACAATTATTTTACTCACTCTCCTGATCAAACCTGCTGACTTACCATTGATTGCAGAATAAAGCATAAATTCCTTAGCCTAGCTTTTAAGATCCACATTAATTTCTCTCCAAAGTTCCCATTTAATTTTATTTCCTACTTCTGTCCAACATGACATTCCACTCCAGTAAGGATGGGTTCTTCATTATTCTCTGAAACAGGCCATGCTCACTTATTATTCTGAACCAAGGCATATGCTAGGTTTTCCTCATGAAATTCTCTTCTCTCTCCTCTATGCAAATCCTTTTCATTATTCAAGGTCCACCTTAAATCCCATCTCCTTCATGAGGAAAATACAAACCACTCCAGTATACACAAAATCTCTAAATTCCTACAATTTGTATTGCCTTACTCTTTTTCACATATATATAATGCATATACTGCTTTGTATATTGACTTAACTCCTATAAATCTTATTTTGCTAACTCGATTATAAAATTCTGGAAGATGAAAATCCATTTTTAAAAAAATTCTCTCAGAGAATAACACAGTATTACACATACGTTATATAACATTGAGTTCTCAATGAATAGATGAATGATTTGTTAATAAAGTCATAGGACAAGATAAATTTGCCCAGGTGAACACAGCCCTGGAATGCTCCCCCAGAGTCCCAGTATCCAAGTTTCTCCAGGACTCTCACTTTCAGTTCTTATAATTACATTATGGTGTGCAGCAGAAGTTTCCTAATTGCTTCAGGAAGTGAATGGCTAACAAAGATCCAATCTCTTTAAACATCTTTTTTCTTTCTGATTTCTTTTACTGCAGAAAATCTAAATATATAAACATGAAACAAGCACCCAGTAAGTTACTTTGTAGGAATCTATTCTAATTTTCTGAACATCCTCAGTCCATTAGTCAGTTAAAATGCAGACATAATCTGACAGAATATTATGCACCAATTAACTGATAAAACTGCTGTTTAAAAAAAATACAAAGATTAAAGTAGTGATTCTGAAATAGCTCACTAGATAGTCATCGATTTTCTTTTAATTCTTAATAAATACCTTAGATGCCTTGTGAATTCTGATGGAGTGAGAGAGCTGAGCTGTGGCCATTATAGGAATGTATCAGGATTCTTTCAACAAATCTAACCTGTTTAAAAAAAAAATTAGAGACGTTGCCTAATATAATCCTTATTGTGAATTTTCCAAAGAACTATATAATTAGCATTTGACTGTACTCTTTGGAAAATTAGTTTAATAAATATTTTTATCTCCACTACCAATTTTCTATAAATTTGGCATAAAGTCTCTGTATTAGTTTTTCCAACCACTCAATGAAAATTTAAGTTAATTTACTTGTTGCCAAATTTGGAGGAGAAAAATAGATTGTAAATCACATAAAGACTCAATAATATATTTTACTCATCCTCGTTATTCTCTGAGTGTAACAGTGCTCTGTATATAGAACAGGCTCAAAGACATTTCTTGAATTAACTTCATGCGTAATTAATTTTCAAATTCAACTCAAAAGTTAATGTTTACACTTCATATCCATTAGGATGGCTATTCCAAAAAATGAAAATAACAAGTGTTGGTGAGAATGTGAAGAAACTGGAACCCTTGTGTGCTGTTGGTGGGAATGTGAAATGGTGCAGCCACCGTGGAAAACAGTATGACAGTTCTTCAAAAAGTTAAACAGAATTACCATATCATCCAGCAATGCCACTCCTAGGTATATACCCAAAAGAATTGAAAGCAGGGATTTAAATAGATACTTGTACAAGTATACACTGTTTATAGAAATATTATTTACAATACCCAAAAGGTGGAAACAATCCAACTGTCCATCAATAGATGAATGTATTTTTTAAATGTGGTATATACAATAGACTATAATTCAGTCCTAAAAAGAAATGAAATTCTGATACATGTTACCACATGGATAAACCTCGAAAACACTATGCTAAGTGAAATAAGCCAGACATAAAAGGATAAATATTGTATGATTCCACTTGTATGAGGTAGAGGTACCTAAAGTAGTCAAATTCGAGTTAGAAAGTAGAATAGAGGTTACCAAGCACTAGAGGGTGCAAGAAACGGGGAGTTTAATGGGAGCTTCTGTTCAGGATGATAAAAAAATTTCTAGAAATGGACAATGGTGATGTTGCACAACTCTGTGAATAGGCTTAGTGCCACTGAATTGTACACTTAATGGTGGTTAAAATGGTAAATTTTATATTATGTTTATTTTATCACAACAAAAAAGTTAACATCTAAAATATATCTAGTTTTCACTTTTATTAGCACACTAACGTAAAAAAAGAAGCAAATTTCCCTTTTCCTTTTGAAAGGTTATAATTTAATTTAAATTGGGGCTTCTTTTCAGGTTTTATGGAGTTCTAACCAAAATATTTGTAAAATAACCCATTTAAGGAAATTCCATTCTAGATCACCCAGGATAGCCTGTGATCCGTTTTTGTGTACAGATTAATGCAAGACTCTGGAAGATTGTACAAACAAAAGAGGGCAGAATTATTTGAGGACACTGCCACAAGGTGGTGATAGAGATTATAAACAGGTAATATTTAATTTCTCTCAAATTACTTCTTCAGAGCAGCACTAGGGGACACTCTTTTACAATATTTTATATGAAACTGAAAACCACCTAATAGTCTTTTTGTCCTTAAAGATTCCAAGGTATCTCCTGTTGACTTCAGAGTATAACCTTCATTTCTGAGTATAACCTTCAAATCTGACTCAACACATCAATTGCCTCCCTTACAACTTTAAGAAATAAAATGGGAAAAATAAGTAACTACAAGAGTTTAAGCTCCAGTTCGGTCCATTTAAACCATGGTAAACTATCCCCTACTGGGGTAGTTATTAGTCTTACAGACAATAAATAAGAGAAATAATGATTTTTAAATAGCCTCCTATATTGACGGAGCTTTTTTATTTCTCTATGATCATAAGACATTCTGATGGTATTTCTAGAGAATCAAGCCCCAAAAAGAGCATCAGCCAATTAGAACATAATGCATTACTACATCCATATTGTTGGAATGTATGGCTAACCTGAATTAAGTTGATATTTTGACTGAAAACTCTGAGACGGCTAGGGCACTTGCTTTTGGAAAAGGATTCAAAGTTAGTCATTACTAGCATTTGGTAAATACCTGAGGAATTAGCATGTATAAAATATGTAAAATTAAATTTTATACACACATACGTATGTAGACAGAGAAAAATAACCAGCAATATAATCTAATAGAAAGAGGCTTTGAAGTTAAGGAACCGGGGTTCAAATTCTGCTCAACTACCTAGCAACTGTGTGAAGTGGTCAAATTACTTAATCAGGGTTTTCTTTTTGTTAAATAAAGGCAATAAATCCAACTTTTTAGGGCTCTCACAGTGTTTATCTGGACATGTGTTTATCTGAGGGGGTAACATAGCATAGTGGTTAAGCACATGGACTCTTCTGGAACTAAACTGTCTAGGATCAAATCTCAGATTGCAATTCACTAGCCATTATGATCTTGGGCAGGTTGTGTGCCTCGGTTTCCCCATCTGTAAAACAGGGATAGTAATAGTATCCACTTCATAAGGTTGCTGTAAGGCACTATTTTTAAGGCATTTTGAACACTATCTGACACACATTTCATTATATATAACAAAGAATGTTTGCTTTAAAAAATCTTATATTAATGTTTGAATTCCTGGTTTTCCTCCAACCTCCCGGTTGTCCCTTCTCATGGTCCTCTTCAGACTTTTTTCCCTGCCCATTTCTTAGCTTTTGGTGTTTTTCAGGGTCCTGTCCTAGGAGCTCTTTTTTTGTACTTCCAAACACACTCCTGCTCCTTCAGTTACTATTTCTATTCTAATGATTCTTATATGTATATCCTCAGCCCAGGTCTCTCTGCGGAGTTACAGATCTGGACCTCTAACTGTCTGAGACAGTTCCACTTCCATGTTCCCAACACACTCAAATCTGAATTCTTTTCCCTTGAAACCTATGTCTGTTCCCTAGGTCAGTGAATGACATCATCAAATACCTAGTTGCTCAAGCCTAAAACCTGTGACTGAACCCTGTTCCTTCCCTCATTCCAACATCCAGTCTCCTTAACATTTCTCAAATGTGACCACTCCTCTCTTTATCCACGTTGTTGCCATCTCTGCTTTAGATCAGATCAGTCTCACTTTTTGCCTGGACTGCTCCACCAGTCTGCCTGTCACCATCTTACTTTGTCCAGTCTGTTGTTTGTGTTATAGCCAGAGTTTTCCTTCTAAATTACAAACTTGATTATGTAACTTCCTAGATTGAAATACTTAAATGGCTCCCCACTGCCCTCAGGATAAAATCCAAACTCCTTACTATGGTTTCAAGATCTGCCTCATGACTTCTTAGACACATCTCTAACCACTTTCCCTTACACTTTTATGCTTCAGCTATTCTTACCTACTTTAATTACCTTAAAGGACTATATTCTCTTTAGCTTCCAGACTTTCACAATATTCCTTCTGCCTGAAACATCCTCCTTCATTCTCAATTCCTATGCATCTCCTAGATGCGGTTTAGTATAATTTTCTCAAGGAATTATTTCCTGATTCACCACCATCACCAACTCCGGGTTGTGTGCCCACTGCAATATGTGCTGTATCATGGATGCCTTTAAGTATCCACTCCACTCTACTGTGAGCTAACATGAGGGCAAAGTTGTGCCTGTCTAGTTCATTATCTTTGGGGTTTTTTTTAACACTGCAATCACACTGTTTTAGTATATTCACAATGTTTTGCAATCATCACTACTATCTAATTCTAATTCTAATTCCAGAACATTTTTGTTACCCAAAAAGGAAACCCCATGCCCATTAGCACTCCCCATTCTCCTCGCCTCCTTGCAACCACTAATCTACTTTTCATTTCCATGGATTTGCTATACTGCATACTTCACATAAATGGAATACTATAATATGTGGACTTTTGTGTTTGATTTAGCTCATTCTTGAATCCTTCCTTCCAGTAATGGAACAAAGTAGGTACTCAATAAATATTTGCTAAGTCAATGGAGAAGCACTACAGGAACAAGGAAGAATTAAGGATCTAGAAAAGAACTACAGAATTTTAGAGGTAGAAGGAGCTTTAAACGCCATCTAGTCCAAACATCTAATTTTCTACAGGAGGAAATTAAGGTCCAGAGAAACCAAATGACTTACCCAGGGTCAATTAGCCATTCAGTGGCAGAACTGAGACTAAAACTCAAGAAATTTTGACTCACAATTTAGGAGTTTTTCTAATGATTCCCTAAAATGAAATTCCCCTTTGTTTTCATTCCATCTAAAATGATGTACTACCAGTGCCTTCCTAGTTGTTGGGCTTGTTTGCTTATTTCTAAGCATGGTAGTATCTCTCTTTCTGGAGTTCTAGAATGAACTTGCTTCAGGAAGGCAAAAAAGATTTAAATAATTTTTTAAACAGCCAGGCTCCTTTCATCCTCTAACTATTCTGTTGCTACTGTTGTTTTTCCTTTGAGCAGGTGTTTTGCGGAGGTCTCATATTCAAGTACAAACCTTGCTTCATTTTGAAAGCTCACAAGCTGACAGCCCCAGGAGGTATGACTCTACAGATCATGCGCTCTCAGAGAATAGCTCTGATGTTTTTTTATCACCTTGTTCTGACTCATTATCTAAAAACCTAGGAGAGATTTCATAACTATGGATTTTAAGAACAAAACTCTAACTTTCAAATGTCTTTCACATATATTTGTTTGCATATTGGATCCACAAACATCTGAAATTTCACAGGGCATCAATACATATCAAGTTTGATATGTATGTAAGCTTGATGTGTCCACTCTGTGACAAGGATTATGATCTTGAGAAAGAGGCAAGATTTCTGTGCATTCTCAGATAAAGATTCACTCTGGGCTTACCTCTTGACCTACATCTCAACTGCCCTATTTAAAATGATGGTACATCTACTTAGTATTTTGCCCTTTTATGTGTGAACCTGAGATTCAGATAAAGATTAACCAGCTGTTGTTTTGTTTATTAAGCCTGAAGCCACCCTTTATTTTTCCATTCTGAGTGAAGCAAAGACCGAAATTTTATTACATTTGTCCAAACACAGTGACAGCCGATTTCCTAACTCTCTCGGCCCATCTTTCCCAATCTTCCAAAAACAATTTTTTTTTAAAGATTGGCACCTGAGCTAACATCTGTTGCCAATCTTTTTTTCTCCTTCTCCCCAAAGCCCCCTGGTACATAGTCGTATATTCCAGTTGTAGGTCCTTCTGGCTGTGCTATATGGGAGGCCGCCTCAGCAAGGCTTGACGAGCAGTACTAGGTCTGTGCCCAGGATCCAAACCAGTGAAACCCTGGGCAGCCGAACCAGAGTGTGTCACCTTAACCACTCGGTCATGGGGCCAACCCTGAAAAGACATTTTTTTAAAATAAGAAAATCCCCTTTCTCTCAAGCGAAAGGTATCCAATAGCTGGATTCTGAAATGCAACTAGATGACCTTCCTTACATGTGCGTGACAGGAAGGCTGGCTTTCCACAAAGGGAGTGCATGTCAACATAACTGGGCTCAACAGATTCACAGAGTTGGAAAGGAGAGCAGACATCCTCTACAACAAATTCAATCCCTTCATTTTAAAGAAAAGGAAAGTCAACTCAGTGGAGGAGGGATGGTCTTTTCAACAAATGGTGCTGAAAGAGGACATCCATAGGCAAAAAAAAAAAAGAAAAAAAAAAAAAACCTCAACCTAAATCTCACACTATACACGGATTCTGAATTTAAATGTAAAATATAAAACTATAAAGGAAAGTGAAGTCCAGCAAGGGAACTTGGTTTGCCAAAGGTCACCCAGCTCCTCAGAGGTTTCCGAGTTCGCTTCCATAGATTATTATTCATCATCTTGGCAAATCCCATTTGGCCCTGATAACTCCCCTACTCCATACTCCCTCAGAGTACATGGTTTCCACTATATTAACCGGGTACTTGCTCATGCTCTTCTGGTTTTTCACATCTTCTTCAGGCTACTTCAACCATTCACCCATTCAGCATTGACTGGGTGACTACAACGTGCCAGGCGTCGAGCAGGATTATAAAAACGTAAACACGGTTCCCACCTCAGGAGAGCCTTGGTCCAATGGGAGAGAAACTAGACTATTCATCCTCCTAACTAGATTAAAGGCTCCTCTAGAGGCAGGAACGGTACGTTTTCTTCCTTTTCACCAGCCAAGAACGCGCTGTCCTGCACCGCCCGTCCCATGCTCGGCACGCTCGAGCACATTCGGCCGATTGGCTAATCTGGAGCTTCAAGACACTCTTCCTAGGACTGTTTGGGGAACTAAAGTCCACAGAGATTAAACGGCAAATCCTGGATGAGGTGAAAGAGGAGCCGGGGTCACGGCGCGGGGACTCGCCACACTCTCCCCGTCCCGGTCTGCGCGGGCACTGGCGCCGGCGGAGCAGCCGCACGCCCGCCGGGAACCGACGCCGCCGCCAGCGGGCCCCGGAACGCCGCCGCCGCCCCGCCACGCGCAGGCCAGCGCGCTCGGCACACGCACCGCTCGGCGCCTCCTGGCCGCGGCTGCCTCCTCCTCAAGCCTGATTTCGTCTTTTCCGCCAAAATCGGAACTGAAAAGCTGCCTAGAGAGTGGGAATGCGCGCGCTCCCAGGACAATTCTCTCCCCTTTGTCTTCCCGGTATCTGTGACATTTTTCACTGGCAGGCGTTGGGGGGAAATGTTACCTAGAAGGTTCTCTTAGTCTCTCTCCTCAGCCCTGGCCTACCCGCTTCTGAGAGTCCTTCGGACCTCAGCGAAATAGTTTCAAGTCAAACTTAAAGCTTCAAGTAAAAAGAAAAGAAAAGAAAAGAAATCACGTAAGACTAGAGGACTAACAATGCTCGAGCGCCCTCTCTCCCGAGACCCCGCGCCAGGTTCGCCCTCACCTCAACCGGTCGACGCCTCCCTCGGAGCGGGGCTCAACGGCCCTTCCTCTGGCTCATGAATAATCAATGAGGCCCCCCCCCTGGGCGGGGCGAGACGCTCCTCATGAATAATTCATTACCTCCCCACGGCTTGTGCGGGCATCCATCCTCTCTCTCTGCGCTTCATGAATATGCAAAGAAGGGGCGAGCTGGGGCTAAGAGACCCCTGGCGGGTCCCGCCCCCTCAGCGCCCGGGGGGCAGGTGTTCCCGGTCCGCTTGCCTTCCGGCTGCCGGCGGCGCGTCTCTGCCGCCGCGTTTCCCGCCCTTCCGAGGGCTCGCCCCGTGCTCCAGGGCCTGAGGGACCCCCGCGGAGCTCCCGGCTCCGCGAAGGACGGAGAGGCGCGGGGCTAGACGAGGACCCTAACGGCCTTCAGCTCGGGGCGCCCGGCTTGCGCAGCGGGTACGTCGAGGACAGCCTGCCCGCTGAGGTGAGGCGGCGGCGGCGGGAGGCCTCGCGGGCCGGGGGGGCCGGGGTGCGAGCCCGAGGGACCTTCGGGTTAACGCGGGCGGTGGCCGGGGCCCGGGGCTCCCAGAGGCGCCAGAGGCGAGCGCGCGGCCGTGTGGGGAGAGGAGGCCGCAGCCTGGAGAGCCCGAGTCAACACGGAGGGGCCGCCGAGAGGTCCAGAGGACGGAGGGGTCATTCCTTGAGGGCATGGCCACTTCTTCCCTGCATGAGCCCAGCTTTGTATTATTTAAACACTAGTTTGTAATTATGCAAATAAAACATGACTGTGTTTTCCTCTTACGCTGCCCCCAATCCCGGTGCCGCCCGCAGAAGTCATCCCAGTGACAGCTGGGTGCGGGTCTCCTCAGATCCCTTCCCATGTGCTCAGGTACCTGTTTAGTACCCTGTGGAGCTTCTCGAAGGTTCGCGGAGTCCCCTGAGTCCCGGCCATGGGATTTCCTGAGAGTGGATGAAGCAGTGGGCCACGTGAAGCCTGTTCTTACTTTGTTTCTGCAGTAAAGGAAAAAAAGATGGGTAAAACCTGAGTTTATGGCGGAATGACTAAAACCAAAATTGGGGCCGTAATAGACCTTTAGTGCAGGTTTTCTCCACTTCAGCAGTAGTACCCTCCCCCCTAAGTTGTGCAACCTAAAATGTCTCCAGACATTGTCAGATGTCCCGTGGGGGGCAAAGTTGCCCTCGGTGGAGAGCTCCTGCTTTAATCCTATGCTTTCCAGAAGGAACTGCTCTTTAAGCTCCAACCAGACAGATGGTCTTCTGCTCCAGCGCTTTCCAGCCTCCGCGTTTACCTGCTTCGTTCTGGCAGGACCACTAGTCCCTCTCTGCTGTCTGTCCTCGTTCTCGGCTCAGTCAACTACCACCGTCTGCCAAGAGCCTTTCCCCTCGGCCCCATGCTAATGGCAGTCCACCCAACCCCACCCTCCACACAAACACAGTTATTCTCTCTCATTCTAGAATTGATCACAGTCTGGATTTCACTTATGTGTTAACCTGTTTTTCTTTCTCCACCACCTAGAGTGTAAGCAAGCTTCATCAGAGGCCTGGTCTGTCAGGGTCACTCCAGGATCCCTGTGCCTGGCACACAGTGATTCCTCAATAAACATTGGTAGATTGGAACAATAAATGACCCTCTCTTCCTCCTAAGAGCTTTTATGGAGTTTCTCCTTCTTTCCATCCTCATTCCCTGCTGGTTTCCTTGTGACCTTTCTTTAGAACTTGAATGGATGAATGAGCGCCTGTTCTAGGAGCTGTGGGTAAAACCTTCGCTTTTTCCACTGACTTATTAACTCCTTGAGGGCAGAAACTGTATTATACCTGTTCATTGGAGGTATGCAAGTAGATAGTTGAATGAACTCATCAATGACTTAAGGAACAGTATTAGACAATTAAAAATTGAAAGTGCAACAGAGGGCTTTAGAAACCATCAAAGTCTAGTCCCTTACTTGACAGATGAGCGTTTAAGTAATTTGCTCAAGGTCCCCAATCTCGTTAAGAGACTGAGTCACAAGCACAACCCATGGTCTCACATCTCTCATTTCAAGGCTCTTTCCTATCTCCAGCCGGTCTAGTTTCAGATTGCTTTTCTGTGAACCTGACTTACAACCCAAACACAAAAATCCCAAGCCAAAGCCTTGCTTCTTGTCAGCTAAAAGCTTTTGAGTTTGTACTCTTCATCTTTTGATAAAATCCAACCCTAGGGATAATGGCCTAATGAACTCAAAAGTGTTACATGATACTTAAACAATTTCCCAGCTGCTTTTGTACCTTTCAGTGATAAGAAATTGGAAATTGTCCCTGTCAAAGCAGAGTATCTTGTTTGTTTTGGAAGGAAAAAGTGTATGTTGTGGTAGAAATTGATTATTGTTTAGAAATTTCCAAATTACCAGTTAAAGTTTTGTCAAAGCTTATGTCTTGTAGTAAAATAACATGTGAAGCAGATGAAAATAGAGGGGGGAGAATCTTATTTGAGATGACTTGCATTGCCTAAAATTGACCTCTCTCTTTAGACACTATGTTTCCTTTTACTCTGTGTACTTGAAACAGTTGTCACTCTTCATTAATCAGTCTCTAGTTGGACTCTTGTTTTTTGAGAACTAAAGACCGTTTTTCCTTCTCAGTTAAAAGAAATTCAGGGTTCCTTCTTTTCTCTTCTTGATAATTTTATATAGGCAGCACCTGCTTAGTGGAGTCTGTCGAGTCAAACTCTCAGCTTTTAGAATTTTGCACTTTTATCTGAGGCATCTGACAGCCCGCCACATCACAGGAAGTAGAGATACCTTTTGTCTGACTGATTGAAACGTTCCCCATCAAGTTCAGTTTAACCCTGGAAATCTCCGAAAGATGGTTTACTTGGGGGTTATCAAAATAGACATATTGAATATAAAATGTGTTCCCCAGAGGACATTTCTAAATGTGTCTGCCTCTTCAGTGTACACAATCATGATACCAAATACAGAGAAAAGAGATTGGGGTGGAGGGAGCAACTAAGTAGTAAGGGTGGTTTCTTTATACTATTTGCTTTCAACTCTTATTAGAACTCTTAAAATCATCATAATTCCCAGTCTTCAAAAAACTGACACCGCCATATTTATTCATTCATCTAGCTTTTTTTGTGTGTGTGTGTGCCTATCATTTATAAAGCACTCTGCTAGGCATTGCAGGGACCAGAGAGATAATGACTTGGTCCCTGAGCTGTGGAAATTTACAGTTTAGTAAGAGAGGGAACCCTGTAAACACATTACTCACATAGAAAATAGTTTGCAAATATTAATGGAGGTATAAATTATATGATGGAATGTAGAGAAGGAAGCTATGCATTCTGAACAGGGAACTGAGCCAGCTTCACAAAAGAAGTGGCATTTTATGAGGGGAGCATGTGTATATAATTTCCTTTGCTCATTCTTTGGTGATGGTTAGACTACTTCAAACCAATAAAAGCACCACCACTTTAGAACTAGGAAAGAAAAGGAGGTGTAAGATCCCTTCTTTCCACTCCTGGCAGCAACCTGCTTCTGAAAGCTAAATGTTGCCTTTGCAATTGCAAGTGCCTCACTCATGGTTAGGAGGAGAGCGCCAGCTGCATCATATCAAGCCCTCTCATTTCTGCTTTAGGGTGTCATTTTATCCTGGACTCCGCTGGGGCATGCAGTAGCCTGTGATTTTGGCCAGTGGTGTTTATAGATGTGTTTATGAACATGATTCTGGAGTCCTAGAATTTTAAGTATCACTGAGAAGAAAAGCAAGGCAAAATGATTTAGAGAACTGAAGTTTTGAATCAAGCCTCTGTGTGTAAATTGGCTATATTGCCTAACTTATTTAGAGTACTTTCTAGAGAGAAAGGCAAAGATAAAGGATAACCAACTTGGCTTTAGCTTCTGAACTTCATCCGTTCTTTGGCAGCCAAAGAGAGGCCAGTCAATATGAAATAAGCCCCAACTATAAGGTCTAAACATAAGCTCCTGCTTCTGCCCATACTTTGTCAACCTACAAAATATAATTTCATACATAGGTGGGAATTTATTATGGCCTTTATGCTCACTCGGAGTTGCATATCAATTTCTGCACCCTTTAAATTGATCTTTTCTGACCGGCAGAAGAATCTCCATGTGGGTTCTGTGTTTCTGCGGAAAGCCTAGAGTTTAATGAATTGAACAGGAAATGACAGGGCTGTTAGTGACAGGCTGCTGCCTGCTTGACTGCCCTGACCAAGACATGATGTCCAGGAAGGTATTGAATCCTCAAACACTATAGAAATGTTCTATTTGGCTACTTGGTTCTGTTTTCTGCTGACTATGAAGTTGGGTGACATGTAAAATGATGTTATTCCTCTTAATGTTTATTATTTAGTAGAAAAAGTTTCAAGTGAAATAGAATTTAAACTGGCTTTCCATGATTGCTACATGGTACATCTGCACAGAGATCTGAGATGAGGTGATGTTCAAAATTTACCACACTACTGACAGCCTATATTTTGAGGCTCTTTACTTTCTATGTATTTTGATGCTTGGAAAATGACAGTTACCAAAAAATGGTTTAGAACTCCTATGAGAGCATAGTGCAGCCTCAGCTCCAAGAGGGGCATTTTTCCTTCCCTTAGTTTATAGTAACCTAATCATAAATGCCTAAGTAATAACGACCTCTGATTGAGCAGGTCTCTAATTTAAGATTCAGAATACTTATGATCTTAGCATGAACTGAATACAATAATACAAGACATCTGAGGCAAGCTTTTCTAACATATCTCCTCATTAAAGAAACAAACAAAAACCAACTCCTTCCTGTCAAGAGAAAGGTTAAAGAACTGGAAAGTGAGTAAGACATCACGAGAAAATTACCTACATAGCTTTAAAAATGGAAGGGAGAAAGAATTGCAGGAAGGCATCGTTTAGAGATTTGCTATAACTAACACCTAAGACAACTATCCTAAAAAGCCTGATTTCTGTGGAAGCCATTTTCTCAAATGTGTCGGGGGCTGTGTTAACCTCAGTCACATCAGTGCACAGCGCAGAAAGATTTACTGTAGTAAGAAATGTTGGGAGAATTCAAAGTATGACCTCATTAATAACCCGTGGGCATTTCCCTACCCCTTTATTTGTTGAAGAGTGCCTAAACATAGGACATGCTCAATAAATACATGTTGAATGAATGCACATATGTTGTTGGAAGAATCCCAAATATTATCCAAGCAATTAACTGGGATGTTCAAATTATGCATAATGGGGTTGATCTTTGAAAAGATGCATTACAAATTTCCTGTTTCTGTTGATTGCATTATTTTTCCATTTATTCTAATTTGAAACCATTGTCTTATGTTAACTTTTTATTCAAGTATAGTGTACATACGGAAAACCATTCTCTTTTTAAAATGTACCTTTTATTTACATATACATAAAATTCACCAATTTAAAATGTACAAATGGATGTGAAATGATATCTCATTGTAGTCTTCATTTTTATTTCCCT